GAAAAAAGACAAAAAAAAAAAAAAAAAAAAAAAAGGAAGAGCATTTGGTTAATGGACACAAAGAATGATTACATATTGTAATGATGAATATGCTAATTATCCTGATTTGATCATCACATATTGTACACAAGTACTGATAGTCAACTCTGTAACCCACAAATATGTAATATCAATTATTATGTTTCAGTTAAAAAAAAAAGGGAAGAACAATGTGTTAGAGAGTCAGGGAAAATACCACATACAGGAGATAGGGTAAATAAACTCAGGCACATCCACACGAAATAATACTATGCGACCATTAAACAGAATGTGGAGGCACTTTATGACCTGACATGCATATATTATGTGAAAAAAGCAAGCTTCAAAATGTAGTATGTCAGCTTTTAGTAATTGTGATTAGCTGAATAAAGGACCCCCCAAAATATCCACGTTCTAATCCCTGGACCCTGTGAATATTACTTTATAAGACAAAAGATGTAATTACGTTAAGGATCTTGAGGTGGGGAGAATATCCTGGATCATCTGGGTTGGCCCTAATGCCATCACAAGTATCCTTACAAGAGGGAGTCAAAGATATTACCACAGACAAAAGAGAAGGCAATGTGACTGTGGAGGCAGAGATTGTAGAGAGGTGGCCACAAGCCAAGGAATGCCTGCAGCCACCAGAAACTAAAAAAGGCAAGGAACATATTCTCCCTTAAAGCTTCCAAAGGAGTACGGCCCTGCTGACACCTTGATTTTTCGCTCCGTAAACCTAAATTGGACTTCCGGCCTCCAGAACTGTTAGAGTATAATTTCTCTTGTTTTAAGCTACCAGGTTTGTTACAACAGCCATAGGAACTAGGACTGTAGTAAAGAGAGAAAGAAATAAGAACATATATTCAAATTTGCTTGTATTTGCATAAAGAAACCATGGTGTCATGATGAAATCTTGGCCTGTAAGAAAAGAGAAAGAAAGAAAAACGAAACGACGGGAAGGACACTTAAGAAGTTAAAGAGGCTACCAGTGGGGAGGAGATGGATGGAATGGTCAGAGATGGGGAGAGCAGGACTTCTCAGACAAAAGGCAGACAGGAAGAGGGGGCAGCTGGTAAAGGAGGACAAAAGGGCTGACTCAGAGAAGAGCTGTGACAGCCAAAGAGCACAACCCCAGGGCACACAGCCAGGGAGTCTGCTGCAATCCCTTTAGCCTCTATCTAGGATCCAAATGCTCTCACCAGCCCCATTCTTTCTGGACACAAACATGAGATCCACTGCAGCAGCACGCCCCATCCTCACCCTCTCCCGGGCAGAGACAGTCAATTGACTATTCCATTCAAACTGTCTTCTTTTTCCTTACTAACAAAACTCCAACTTTGAGGCCATAATGTGTCCTGCTAAAAGACTATATTTCCCAGGCTCCTTTGCAGCTAGTTGGAGCCATGGGACAGTTCTGGCCAAAGAATGCTTTAGTGTTGTGTGGGACATCTGGGTTGGTACCTTAAACAGGAAGGGATGCTCAAATGCAACCAGAGTAGTTCAAAGGGCAGGGGAGGAAAGTGGATATCATAAGAAACCTCTCCCTAATGTGGTCCTGTTCTTTTCTTTCTTTGGCAGTTGGCTGGTATGGGGATCTGAACCGTTAACCTTGGTGTTATTAACACTGCATTCTAACCATATCAGTGCTGGTCTGCCAATCTCTGCACTTGTTTTACATGAGAGAAAAATAAACCCCGTGGTAGATTGTACTACTGCTCAAAACATTTGCTACCTCTCCTCAATGAAATTATACATCTCCACTCCACTGACGTGAGGCTTGCTGTATACTTGTTTTGGCCAAAACAATGTGAGTGAAAGTGACATGGGCCACTTCTAAATATAAAATTTACCAGGAGCCATTGGGTGGTTCTTTCCACTTTCTCTTTTCCTCCTCCCTCAAGACCAGCAATATTCCAAGTAGGGATGGCTCTTTCAGCCTGAGTCCCCAATTAAGATCAGTAGAGTAGGCCACAAATGACCTGCAAATGGCATAGTAAGAAATAAACCTTTGTTGTAATAAGCCACTGAGATTTGGGGAGTTTGTTACTGCAGCATAACTTAACCATGCTGATTCCTGTAGACACCATAATTTGTTTAAGCCACTATTATTTCAGGACTTTTGCTGCCAGCCAGATGCAATTCCTAACTGATAGGCCCCCCATTATAGATGACTATCACTTGTTTCTGAAAGGGCCTAAAACGGAGCTAATGAATGTTCCCCTCTGGCTGCCAGGCAGGCTCTCAATTTATTTCCTGGCAGCCACTTTCCTCAATGTGTTTCATCTTGTTTCCTACCTGGCATCCACACCCCTCCTAAATCTCTTTTGGAAACTGCTCCTCATCTCTTAGCTAAGTGGCTTCTGCCACACTGACTTAGGAGTGCGCCCTAAGGTGGAAATGGGTTAGCCTGTGTGAGGAACAGCCTGGCAGCCATTGGTGGGTGTTAACAAAGGCAGAACTGGTTTTTATAAAGTCATATGGCTTCTGTGTACAGTTGTCATTGTTCTCTTCCTTGTTATCACATGTGAGGCACTTAGAACAGTGCCTGGCACACAGTCAGTGCTCTCTAAGTAAGTTATTATTGTTGTTGTTGTAGTAAGGGAGCAAGAGTGGATGAAGGGAGCAAGCGGCTATCACAGGAGATGATGGAAGCCTGGACTGCCACATGGTGACAGTGGATGTGATGAGAAGTAGTTAATCTGGGAATGTGATTTTTTTTTTTTATCCCCTAACAGTTTACTTAGGATTTTCCCATTTGCATTCACAACTGTATTGCCAAGGTGTTAGGGATTTTGTAGAGGATGTTGCAGGATGGAGATGTGTTTTGAGAGTAGAGCCAAAGGATGGGTTAACGTACTAGATTGGGGGCAGTGGTGCTGATCAAAAGAAAGGATCACAGGTGACTCCCAGGTCATGTATTCAGTTCTTCAATGTTTGACTCCTCACCTATCCATGAGCTCTGTCATAGCAGGAACAAGATCTGTCAAGGTGCTCTGTGTCTAGCAGGGGCTTGCTTGCTTCTCCAGGAGAGATTCAAAGAGTTGCTGAATTAATAAACAGTGCCAGAGTGATATATTTTAAAAAGCAGGTCTGGACACACTGATTTATGTTTAAAGATGCCCCTGTATTCCTTCTGTACTGCACCAGGGTTCCTTAAAAGATAGCTGGGAGATGAACTGTTGGGGAGCCTATCTGAAATACTTCATTGAATCCATCCAACAAATATTAGTGAGTATTTTTTGCATCCACTATCTGCAAGGCACTGTTCTAGAAGCTGGGGACACAACAGGAAACACAAGAGACAAAATTCCTTGGCATCTAATGTTGATCTGATCATCACATATTGCACATATTGTATAACTATATTGCCATATACATTGTATACATATTATATAACCATATTGACATTCACCTCTTGTACCCCACAGATATGTACAATCAACTGTGTTTCTTAAAAAAAAATTCGTTGGCTTCATGGAATTGATATTCTAGTGGGGGAGACAATGAATGAATACATCAAGTATGTGATATGCCAGATAGTGATATTTAAAGGGAAAAATAAAGCAGGAGGCAGACAGGGAGAATTATGTGTGTGTCTGGGAAAGGGTTACAATTTTGCATAGGGTAGTGGTCATAAAAGGCTAGAACTTTCCAAGCAGACAGAATGGCATAGGCAAAGGTCCTGGGGAAGCAATGTACCTGGCATGCTAAATGAACATGAAGTAGGCCAGTGTCACTGGAACAGAGTAAGGAGCAGCAGGGAGGAAATGAGGTCATACAGGTACTGGAAAACCAGCTCTTGTAGGACTTTGTAAGCCTGCTTTTTGCCTACTCCAAATTCACCTTTTTTTATAGTGAGGTGGGAGTCAGTGGAGGGATCTGAGCAGAGGCAGGTCCTGATCTGACTCAGGTGTTTACAGGCTCCCTCTGGCTGCATGTGGAGAACAGACTGAGGGTGGGAGGGGAGAAGGGCGGGAGCAGGGAGAGCAATGGAGAGGCTAATAAAATAGTCCAGTCTGGAGGTGAAAATGGTTAGGACTAGAGTGGGGCAGAGGAAGGGGTTAGAAGTGATCAAATTCTGGATAGATTCTAAAGGGAAATTCAACAGGATTTTCTGATTGACTGGATGAGGAATGTGTCCTAGCCTACTTAGACTAAGACCATCAGGGACAAACCTGTAGTCCAACGCAGGTTTATTTACCATGGCAATGAGGGAGTCCACACACCAGAGATAGCACGGGGAGTTTCACCAAAGAAAACTATAGTTATTATTTGGGTTTAGGGGAAGGATGAAATTCAGATAAAATGTAAACGAAACCATGTTTGAAAAGAATCAAAGCAAATCAGAACTCAATACGATGTACAGATTGCAAAGTGGGCCCAGGGTCCTGTCTCCATGGAAGCAAAAAAGGTTAGGCAGATGTGGAATACTGTGTCCAGAAACCTCTTATCTGAAGTTCTGAACCTGGACTATAAATCCAGGCCACACCTGGACTGTAAATCTTCTTGTGTCAAAGTGACTTAACTCCTCCAGGAAAAAGTGAGATGTTCCATTCTTACTGATATAATTTCAAACAGCAAAATGTGTGACAGTCCCTGATTTTAGCAACAAAGTTTCTCGGTAAGAAAGTAGAAAGCAGTAGTCAAGGAAGGGGAGTTCTGCCACTTTACATCTGCCACATGTCCCTGAGATAAATATTTTTTCCTGTTAACTCCTCAGCTGGCTTTTTCTACTTCAGCAAAATGAATGGAAGACAGGTTTCTGTTGTTTACAGTCCAATCTAATTCTGACTTTCTCGTGTGAGGAAAGAGAAAAGAATGACTCTAATGACTCTAAGGTTTTTGCCTGCGCAACAGGAAAGAGGGAGTAAGTAACCAAGATGTGGAAGACTTGAGGGAAAACAAGATCGGAAGCTCAGTTTTACGTTTTGAGTTTGAAATGCCTCAAATTCGTGAAGATGGCGAGTGGGCATCTGCAAGCTCTTACAGAACTTGGATCAACCTCACTTTTCCCTATACATCCCTCCCCTTCTTCCGCTCGCTCCGTTCAGTACCTGCAGTAAATCTTCTACCGCTGCTGTTTCACATATCTGCCTACACCTTTGCATGTGCAGTGTTTAGTGCTAGGAATACCGTCTCTCCACTTTTCTAACCGTACTTCCTAACCTCAACAAGCTAGACTAGGTGCCCGGGACCGCTGCATTAGCCACGGCTCCGCCCCTCCCTCAAGCCCCGCCCCCCGCTTGCGCTCACTTGTAGAAGCTCACAGGGCGGTTGTCCGCACCCAGTCGGCCCGCAGTGTTGGAGCAGTTTGGAGCCCTGCAGTACTTGGGCATGGCTGTTGTGCCCCGTTGAGTTTTACCCGGTGAGCAGCCGCACTTTGACCTTCGCAGGGCGCTGCTGAACCACGCCCCGCCCTCTCCGCGTGCTTCACGTGACGCCCCCGGTGTCGTCACGTGCCGCGGGAAAGATGACGGCGCATGCGTACTAGGAGCCCCTCCGCGTTCTCGCCGCTACGCCGTTGTCACGTGCCCAATGGGAGACGCGAGTACGTCTGCGCAAGACCGGCTGTAGGCTACCCAGACCTTCACCACGAACTGGGGGACAGGTGGAGAAATGATGTTTATAAGCCTGCGCCAACCAAATCGACTGGCAGTCGGTTTCTTTTGGCTCCACCGTATGCTTACATCCGGGCCAGTCAGGCTAGGCGCCCTGGATGGCAGCAAAAAACGCGGCGAGGCGGCTATGGTGTTTGCCTCGTAAAAATTAAAATCTTTGTTTCAGTGAATGATGAAAGCACGGACTAGATGAAAAACTCCACGATGTTTGATTAACCACCAATTAGAAGAGCTCTGGCACCACCCTGCCAGACACTGCGCCCCGCCTCTTAGCACCCATTGGTCATAAGCAGCACCCAGCAGCCCTGAGATTGGCCAAACCGGCGGATCACCGCGTCCAATGGGCAGCGGGGCCGGCTTTCCCGCGGCAGTTCGCTATTCCAGTGGGTCGTGGAGGCGGCGGCAACAGTTAAGGGTTGTAACGGTCGCCCGGTTCTGGAGCAACAATGGCGGCCTTAGGGCCCGGAGGCTACGCGCGGAACGATGCAGTCGAGAAGCAGCCGTCTATCATGGCGGGAGTTCCGGCGCGGAGGGGTCAGTCCTCCCCGCCCCCTGCCCCTGCGCTCTGCCTTCGGCGGCGGACGCGACTCACGGCGGCGCCCGAGGACACGGTGCACAACCGGGTGAGGAGCTGCTCGCCCCGCCAACCCCAGTTTCAGGCTTCCCTGGGCCGCTCCTGGTCCCATCCTCACCCCACCTCTCTGGCCCCGCCTATCAGCCCCGGGTTGTCTCCTCAGGTTGCCCCGGCCCCGCCTCGCCCGTTAAGCACCTCCCTTGTAGCCAGGGCTCGTCCCACTTTACCGTCTCCTCCTCTCTTGGGTCCTGCCCATCACTCCCAGATCCACTCTTAGCATTGGAGCATTCCCAGGGTTCCTCCCTGGTTCCTGCTCTTGAAATGCATTTTGCTAATACGTGTCACTGCCTGGTCCCGCCTTCCTCAGTATACCTTAAGCCCCACTCAGTCGCCTTTAGACGTCTCTCCAGCCCCTTCCATTTTTGTTGACTTCGCCCCCACTGGGTCTTTAAGGTCCTTGCCTGGGTTCAGTTCGGAGTACTACCTGTCCCAACTCTTCCTCGGGTGTACTCCGCCTTCTCTCATCCCCTGCCTTCTCATTCTTTTTCCCTCACCAAGGTGGGATTCTTAGTCCATATTGCCACTCAAGACTAGGGAGAAGGGCTGGCCAGTTAGCTCAATTGTTAGAGCATGGTGCTGGTAACACCAAAGTACAGGGTTCGATCCCTGTACCCGCCAGACGCCAAAAAACAAGAACTACGGAGAGGATGTGAGTAATTATTTGCAAAATCTCAGCAGCGCTGCCTGGGGAGGAAGACGTACAGAACAGTGCCCTAAATCCTGAGACACGGAAACACAGAAGGACATGATTTTAGAGTGGGTCCAAGGAATTCCATTAACATAGCAGCAATTTTTTAAATTGTTTTCTGACTCCTTAGGCACAAAGTCTGTTTTTATAGGATGGAGGTAACAGTAACCATACAATGGTGTTGCAGGGAGATGAAATTGTGACTGTGACCTTCTTGGCATAGACAGAGTGCAGATAACTGGTAGCTGCTGGTGGGTCTTGTTCCTGTTCTGTCTTTTTCTACAATCTGATTATACTGCCCACTCCTGGCTGCAGGACTCTGGGCAAGTGACCCCTGCCCACCTCTCTAGATGTACTTCCCATGTCCTCCCTCTCACCAAGGTTCAGTCACGCTGGACTGCTTTCTGTTTTCCTGAGGCTCCAAGTTCTTTTCTGCCTTCTACCCTTTATGTTTGGTGAGTCCTCTGCTTGGGCATTTTGCTGCAATCTACCTGGCTGGGTCCTTCCCATCCCTTTAGTCTAGCCTGAATATCCGTAACCTGAGAGGCGTTCTTGAACCAGTCTAAAGCAGACATCCACCTTAATCTCCCAGTGCCCTGTACTTCATAGCCCTTAACTTGTATGTTTCTGAAAGTGCCTTGTGAGCTCTTAAACTATGTAGGAGAGTAACAATAGCAAATTCAGAGAGGCAATATAGCAAGGTGGTTACATGCACAGCCTCTGGCCCCAGACTGCCTGAGCTTAAACCTTAATTCTGTTCTTCCTAGCAAGTTACAAGCTTTTCTGTTCCTCAGTGTTCTCATCTATAAAATGAGAGCAATGGTGCAGAAATCATTCATGGGGTATTTGTGAGGATTAAATGAGCTCACATATCTTAAGCAATTAGAACAACACCTTGTACATTGCACATACTCTATTAGTTTTAGCTAATACTGTTATTATTATAGGGTATTTTGGGTAATGCTTAACGTACTTTTCTTATTTGGCAACAGAGTACATCTGGCCTGCAAAAGACCTAGTTTACTACACTAGAGCAATGATTCTCAACCTGTCTGCACATGAAATCACCTGGAAGATAAAAATAAGACCCATACCATGGCTCCTCCTCAGACCAATTAATCAAGCAACTCTTCGCGAAGCGCGGCGGCGCTCCTGCTGAGGGTTCGGATCCCACATACAGACCGGCCGCTCACTGGCTGAGCGAGGCGTGGGAGCAACACCGAGGGTTGCAATCCCGTTGCTGGTCACGAAAAAAGACAAAAAGGAAAAAAAAAAAAAAGACCTAGTTTAGAAACAACCAGTAGGGCTGTCTGGTTAACTCAGTTGGTTAGAGTGTGGTGCTGATAACACCCTAGTTCAGAGTTCGATCCCTATACTGGCCAGCTGCCAAAAAAAAACCCCAAAAAACAAAACAAAAAATGACCATTTATACTAATTCCTAATAATGCTGATCGACAGATAAAACAACGTGAGTATCATTGTTTGGTTGTCTGTGTTAGAATCCTGGCACTGCTCCTTCTTGAATGGGTAACCCCTCTGGCCTCTGTTTCCTCATCTGTAAGATGGGGATGATAATAATGATAGTGATTGTATTAGTCTGTTTTCTGTTGCTTATAATAGAATATCTGAAGCTGGGTATTTTATAAAGAAATGAAATTTATTTCTTACAGTTTTGGAGACTAGTAAGTCCAAGGTTCAGAGAACATACCTTGTGAGGGCCTTCTTGGTGGTGATGCTACAGCAATGCCGGGTGTCACATGGCAAGAATGGCAAGAGCAAAAGAGCTAACCTGCTCACTTGCTTTCCTTATAAAGCCATTGGAACCACACCCATGACTCAATGACACTCATTATTCCATGAATGGATTAATCCATTCACAGGGGAACAATCCTCAAGATCTAATCACCTCTCAAAGGCCTCACCTTTGAAATATCATAATTGGATTTTCTACCCTCTTAACACTGTTACAGTGGAGATCAAGTTTCCAACACATGAACTTTTGGGGACACATTTGACCCATAGCAGTGACTATATCATATGGTTATTGTGAGCTTTAAATAAGTTAATACAGTTATAGATATTTGAACAGTGCCTAACTCGTGATAAATAAACATTAGTTATTATTCTATTTTTCTATCAATTCTGAGGCCAAGGACTTGCTCGAGAATGGTTTACTCTATAATAATTAGAAACTAATCTATTCAAAATATGAAAATACCACACAAATCTCTTAATCTAAACTCTGTATAAGTTGTTTAATCAACCATAATGGGGTCTGGGCCATTTAACTTCGCTTCGAGAGTTTTTATAAATTTCAAATGTGATTGTTCACTTGTTTCTTTACTTGTTGAAGCCTCTAGAACCTCTAGACTGTGAATTTGATAAGAGAACAGACAGTGTCTGCTTTTGCTCACTGCTGTGTCGCCCCTATAAGGCCTAAAGTGCTGGCGTTGGAGCCAGACTCCCTGGGTTTGTGTCCTGACCTTGCTACTCCCCAGGTGTAGGATCTTGGACGTCAGTGTCCTCATCTGTAAAACAGAGGTGATAATAGTGCTTTCTTCCTTATGTTGTTGTGGGGATTCAAGTCTTTCCTCCATATAAAAGTACTTAAAAACTTATTCAAAGGTCTCCTATTCACTGTGGCATTCTCCCCCTTCCCTGCACTCCCAGTCTCCTTCCCTGCTTTTTTTTTTTCTCTTGGCAGCTGGCCAGTATCTGCTTTATTTTTTCTCTATGACTGCTATCATTACCTGACATCCAATTTACTTATTCTGTTCCTTTTCTATGTCTTCTTTCCCCATCACCACTGGAATGTGAGGGATTTTTGTCTGTCTTCCTCACCATTCTATGCCCTTCACCTAGCTCTGTGTGTTTGTCAAAGGAATGTTGAAAAGAACAAGTGTTCTGCTGCTGGTAGGTAGCATAACTGCAAAAGCTTAGTGAGTATGTGTTGAATGCAACAAGAACTGAAAGGGTGGCCTAGGTGGCTGTGCCATGTGGGGCCTGCTGGGGTGGGTGCTTCTGACTTGGTCCTTTTCTTTGCAGGTGTCACTCGAGAAGGTACTTGGCATCACAGCCCAGAACAGCAGTGGCCTAACCTGTGACCCTGGCACAGGCCATGTGGCCTACCTGGCAGGGTAAGCCATGGGTGGGCCTCAGCATTTAATCATTGCTAGGAAATTTGGAACCTGAAGTCATTGGAGAATCTCTTTAGGCTTCACCTTTCCTGTCTGTAGAATGTGGTTAGTACTCCCTACCTCTGAGGGCTGTGGAGAGGATTCCATGGGCCTGTGTCTAGAACAGTACCTGGCATGTAGTGGAGTGCTATGAATGCCTCAGTTGTGACTGCAGGTGGGAGGTGGCAGTGATTCTGGGAAATACAGATGGTTAAAACCCAAGCTGTGGTGTCAGGTAACCTGGATTTGTGTCCCAGCTCTACTCTA